TGTAGCACTGCATGGGGTTATTGCGACCGAAAGCGGAGCAGGATTACAACTCTGGAGTCTTTCAGGCACTCACAAACTAATATACCTCAAAACTAAGTAGTCAGGCTCAGTTATACCCATCTCTAATTAAATTCTGCTGACCCTGTAAGAAGAGCAGTGCTTTTTGCCACCTGAGGTGTGTCTAATACTTACACTGTGGAGTCCAGGAACTGAGTCTGCTCCGTATTCACTCTGGATAATGGGTTTTTGGTAGGTTTTATACCAGTTCTCAAACTGCGTGGTGAGTTGTAGTGGAATAACTTCCAGGTGGCCCGGGTCGTGATACCAGGAGAAGTAACTGTTGACGCAAATCACATCTACGTAAGGAGCCTACAAAAAACCAAGGTGGGAGTGTTTTGTCGCAGAGCTCAAAGTAGACAACCTTCACTCATAAAGCTAAATCCTCCTTTTGCTTCATCTCATGTAATCCAGTTCTATTACACATAGAATAAAGTCTTTTCCCCCATTACTCAGGCCCTCCCAACATGACATTTTTCCCACAGAAAAAGCAGGATAAATTTAATAAGCTAATAGCATATTACTTTGGTATTTTGTTAGATGTAGGAAGTCAAAGCTAAGAGTTAGACAAGCTCAACCCATTTAATCCTCAGGTTTGTTAGAAGTTTGAGTTTCCAAGATGTTTCTGGCCTGCTGGTACATTTAGAAGTACTTTTTGAGTATTGGAATGTGATTATCAAGTTAGTGGTCAAATATTTTGACTAGCAACTAAATTTGCATCAATGGTGCAATACTAAGACTAAGCATTCTGCAAGTTATATGCCATTTCTACCATGTGGACAGTATGATACAAGGGCACCAAGCCCACTCAAGACTAAGTGATGTTGTATGTAACTTGTTCAATGTTCTCTTAACATGTTTTGTAATAAAAGAAAAGAAGTTCTAATATCACGTCAGTGTACGAGATCTGTTCTTTGGTTTTGTTTTCCTGGGATGTCAGAGTGTGTGTGCACGCCTGATGAAATGGCAACATC